ATCTACACAGGAGCATGTCAGTGCAAAGGAGAGCCAGAACGCCAGCGCAAGACCTTCAGATCTTCCGGCAGCCTGGTACCCTTCCAGCGTGAAGCCATTCTCTCTCTTGTCTCTAAAAGTGCCACAAAAGGGTGCACTATTTTCATTTTTTTAATAGAAGTCTTTGAGTACATGTTAAACAGGAAGAACACTTGGCACAGGGTGTTATTTTGTTTGGGGAGGGTGGACCCTCTACCACTTGAACGACATCCACAGCATAACAAATGACAGCAAGACCTGGACAGTATCTGTAGTTCCATCACATTCTAGATTTCCAGCCTTGGAAATAAGTCTGTGTTGGCCCCTTTAGTAGGAGGAGTTCCTAAAGGAGTTTTTTTTTTTTTCCTAGAAATTTTATTATTTATTTTTACATTTTTGAAATTTACATTGAATCCCTGTGTATTTTTACAGTGTACAAATTGGTTTTTCCTAGCATGAATGCTGTGCATATTTGGGAGCCCAAAGATATTACCATGTAGGGAACCAGCAGTTAGCGTAATGGCTATGTCGCTGGACTCCCACGTAGTCGACTGCGGTTCGCGTCTCGGACCCGGTGGCTTAAATCTCACGCCGGGCGCGTGTGCGTGCGTGCCCAAGATCCCGAGAGGAGAATGGAGGAGAATGGAGGAGAAGGGATTGCGGCGTGACCATCCCCCGTGGGGGGTGATTTCTTGCTTTCTGTTTCAATGTTTCTCTCTGTCTGGCTGGCGAGCGCACGCGCCCTATAGCGAAAACCTCTCCAAAAAAAAAAAAAAAAAGATATTACCATGTATATTGTCATCTACAGAGAACTTTTCATCCATGTGTCTGCTAAATGGTTTTTTGGTTTTGGTTTTGGTTTTTACTCTGATCCCATCCCTCCCACCTCCTGCCTAAAGAACTTTTTTGACTGCTACATCTGCTAGCATCTCTCTGTGCTTTTCCGCAGACTTCTGTTTCATGATCGCTTTGTTGTTTTGCTCTACTTTTCCCTTCTTTTCTAAATCATCTGCATTGGCCACCCAACTGTAGAGGACCTTCCCTGTATAGCCATCTGAAACAGGCCAGACCGCAGAAACACGGGAGCTCACGGCGTGTCTGACCCACTGGGGGAAGGAGCTTCCTTCCTAGTTAGAGAGAAAATTAGGTATTCTAACATTTGGGTTCCCAGGTCCCAAGTCATTGCTTATTCTTTCATGAACTCCGTAGGACTTAGAAACATTGTAGATATTATGGGCCAACTGGCATGGAGGTAAAGGCATTTGGATCCCACATGACTGACTTTGCAGTTTGAGTCCTGACCTGGTGGCTTGAAAAATCACACTGGGTATGTGTGTGCATGCCCAAAATCTGGAGAGGAGAGTGGGAGAGGAGGAATTGAGGTGTGGCCACCTCCCTGGGGGTATGAAGGGCTACTTCTCCCCCCACCCCACACATCCCCTCTGTCTCTCTCCGGCAAGCACCCTACATACAGCAATACTAAAAAGAAAGTAGATACTTAAAATTACTCTCATGGGGGACCAGCAGGTGGCATAGTGGCTAAAGTGCTGGACACTCCCATGTGGCTGACCACGATTCATGTCCTGGACCTGGGGGCTTACTTTCTCACTTTCTCTCTCACTCTGTCTCTCTTTGGTTAAATTAAAATAAATGAATTAATCAAATTAAATAAATAATTATCTTTTAAAAATTACTCTCATGTAAGGAGTTCCTGTTCTTTTGAAGCTACAGTGGAATAGTCTTGTTCTTTCTTTTGAGGAGGTGTACAAAGTCTCGGGGGGGGTGTCTCAGGGTGAGAGCAGAACAGATGACTATTGTAGAGTGTACTTGGCGTAAATTAAATCCTTATCTCCATTATAGTTGTTGTTTTTACTCATCCTCAATTTGAAGATTATATTTGTATCATGCAAATGGCTTTTATACTCTTCTTTTAAAAACATCAGTTTGGCAAGGATTATAAAATCATACCACGTCAGTGAAAATTTCCTTCCAGTGTGTATAAACACAGATAGTCTTACAAATATTTTAAAAATACATCTGACTTATCTTGATTATCCAAAAATGAGGAATAAAGGAGTTGGAGTATAAGTCACAAAGTTACCAACTAAGAGCTTAAAAGTACCATGTAACAAACATGAGTGTGAATTTGGCTTATTTGTTATTCTTCAGCTCCTCTTTAAGAGAAGCCTGTATTTTAAGCCTCCCCACCATTTCATAGAAAATGGAAGCATTTTAACAGTTTGAGTCAAAAGGGCCACCTTTAAAAAAAAATCTGTTCCTTGGGACCAGTAGGTGGCATAGTGGTTAAGGCACTGGGCTTCCACATGGCTGACCCTGGTTTGAATCTCAGATCCAGTACCTTAAAAATCACAAAGGGTGCATATGTGTGCGTGCCCAAAATCCCAGGAGGAGAATGGAAGAAAAATGACTGTGATGTGGTCATCTCCCTGGAGTAGACGATTTCTCATTTTCCCTCTCTCTGTCTTTCTGTGTCTTTCTCTAGCCAGCACATGTACCCAATGGCAAAAAACTAAACTAAATTAAATAAATAAATAAATAAATTGGGGGGGGAAGGGTCCAGCAGGTGCTGTGGTGATTTAAGGCTCTGGACTCCCTCATGGTTGACCCTTCATGTGAGTCCCAGATCTGGCAGCTTGCCTTCTCACTTTCTCTGTTGCTCTCTGGTGAGCACACATGCCCTGTAATCAATTTAAAAATAATAATTATAAATAAAACTAAATATTTTTAAAGAATTTCTTTAGGCAAATGTCTACTGGTCTCTCCAGAAAATGAGCTTGGTCACCATTGATCCTCTTTAAGGAGGGATAGGCTCTTTTGTCCAACTGTCAATAAATTCTACTTTTTTCTATGACCTAAATGAATAGGTTTGGCTAAAGCCAATGGAAACACAAAGTGTCGTATTTTAGCGTTTAATATTCAGTTTTCAAAGAGTGCCTTGAGTGAATGCCATGTGGGCTCCTCGGTTAATGTAACTGGGCCCTATAGATAAATAGGTTCTGCCCTTGTCACAGACAAACCTGAAAATGTACTTTCTTCTCACAAACCCAGTGGCTGGCATTCAGGCTGTGTTGATGCTCTCTGCATGGTGGGGAAGACGATTTCCCTATCTGAAATGTAGAGACAAACGAAAGTGATTCTTTGTCTTTCCTTGAAGGGTTAACACTCTAGCCAGCTTCAGATTGGTTCACTTGAATCTTAAAATTACTTTTCTGGTCACGCGCACGGAAGGTCTAAGCATTTGTGAAATGTCTTTTCTTTCTTCCTTTTTTTTTTTTTTCTTTCTCCCAAATGCTGTTCTCTTTGGGCTGTCTTAATTACACAGGGGTTGAGAAACCAAATTAAAATTAGGCGTGTCTGGTAAACAGTGATCACTTTGCATGCTTTTCGCTTTGCTTGTTGGAGTTACTTCTCCCTGAGCAGTTTCCTTCCCCGCTAATTTTTTTTTTTTTTTTTGGTAAAGGAAATATCATAAACTCTTTTAGAAATACTCACAGGAAGTGAGTATCCATATGCTGGTTACTCACCAGAAGCTGAGCACTGACAGGTGAAGAATGCCACCGCAGCCCTCCCGGATTTATTTTAAAACTGCCCCTAGAGCAGAGGATTAATGCAGGGTGCGTAGACCAAAGCGGTTTTGTCTCCCGAGGGCATTATTAGAGGAAATCGGTCATGGCACGTCATCCAGAGGGACGGTGACTCAGGGAACGGTGGTGGGGGTCCGAGAGGCACGTGGCTGCCATCTCTGAGGTCTCTGCTCCCTCTTCAGTGGACAGGCTGTCTTCTAAAAATTAACGCTCCCTCCACCCCCAACAACGATTCTTCTGCAGTGAATCACTTCCAGAAATGAATAGCCACATTTTTTGGAATGAATGTTGTGAAATCCCTCGTTTATAATGGCAGGTTTTCAGTTGGTGGTTTTTATCAGACTGAATTTCTCAAGATCAAAACGAAACCTTCTCTTTAACAAGACAGAAAGTGCTAGCGATACAGAAAGCAAAAGTATGTGCAGCCTGCTACTGAAGAGCTGCGTCCCGGCAGACCTCTGTACCTATCTGTAGAGACGTGTGCCCACACAGTTGCTTGATTGTGTGAGTTCTTGGAATTACGGATTCGTTGCCTGTAGCTGGTGATTTCCTATGCAGAAGGTCGCTAACTCCCAGAAACGTTATACTCGGTGAGTAGGTGGTAGTTTCTGAAAATGATTGCTAAGCCGGCGCGCATCGACTTGAATCGGGGATTGAAAGGACTGCTAGCAGGCTCGAACACTTTCTGCTTAATATGACACAGTAGATGGAACCGTGGACCTCGTAGAAGGCTGTGAAGGGTGTTTTTGAAACATGAATTAATTGACTAATCATTGAATCTTTTAAATATACTCGACCTTTTGAGGAAGAGAGGGTGTTTTACAGAAGGAAGTGGTTTGTGGGGGGCTTTTTGATGTACAGTTATTGCCTTTCTATATTTAAGTATCACTTCATCCTCTTGTGTGAAAGAAAGAAATGACCATGTGGTCTCCACAGAGAAAAAGTTATGCCCACTCTTTGTCAGTGAAGAAACTTCATCCACGTGTTACTCCCAGCTGGACTTTTTTCCTCCTAAATATTCATAAGGGAAAACTATTCCCTGGAGACTCACTTCGGCACTAAGACGAGTCCCATCCAGGATCCCGGGGCTCTTCATGGATTATTGGGCACTTTATCCAGGGGCAGAGAGAGGAAAAAGGGTTACTGGAAACAGGGAGTGGAGTTTAAGGAATTGTTCTCTCTGCAGAGTGGGTAAGTTGTTTGACCTACTGACTCATTTCATAGGAATTAGGAAAACAACCTAGTGTGGTTTTTATTGTTAGTCCTGGAGGGTTCCGAAATCAGAGTGCTGGAAATGAGATGCGCGGGAGAGGTAGCGCTGGCACGGAGCGGTCCTGCCTGCCGGGGTTCCTAATGGAATTCAATCTCTGCTTCCAGGACAAGTCCAGCCTGCGCTTGGGGATCCTGTGTGTGACTGCCCCACGGTGAGTACAGATGACCGCGATTTCTGGTTTTCACCGGTTCTTGCGTCTGAATTCCTAAACGGCATTTCGTCTAAGGAAAAACATGTAAAGAACATTATTTTCCTCGTACTTTCACTACATATCGCATATTTGTAGAAAATACGTTTTGATTGATATTAGTGATAAAACATAATCTAACCCGTAGACAACAGTGCAAATGAAAATTCATTTTGATTGATAGATGGGACAGTGTATTGATGGACATGATGGGGTGTTTAAAACACAAGTGTGGAGATTCCAGTAGAGTCTAGCAAACAATAATATAACTGCTAACAGTTAACAAAAGGCATGTGTTTCAGACAAGGAACAATATTTATTTGCAGAGAAACTTGTGGTTTGTGATGTTTTGGTTTTTTCCAATATTATCAAATAAGCTGAAAGTGTTTAAGAGTTTAAGAGGACAAAGAAAGGACATTGAACATGGATACAAGAAAAAACTGAGAAAAGGTAGCTCTAATATTTAAAGTGTTTGATTATCACCTCTGTGGAATGTCACCTCGAACTGTATTCTTAATGCAAAATAAGTCTTTTTGCAATATATAGTTAATAGAGAATTTGTGATTCTCTTGGGAGGTGGCTGGGAGGAAGGTTGAGTCAGCCTGCTGGCACTGTTTGTTCCATGTACTGCATTATGTCTGAATGCCTTAGAGTGGTGTTCTTAACCTTTTCGGGGTACTAGACCCCTTTGAGCTGTGGATGGGAGCCCTTGATCCCTTTTACCGTGCTCACACGCAAGCCTTCACCTGAGTTTTTCAAGGCATTCAGAGACCCAGCGAAGCGCATCCACACCTCAGCATAAGGACACCAACCTAGACTGACACCTTACTATGAACTGTTCATAAGCGTCCCACAAAACACTGCTATTAAAAAGAGGCATACAGGTCAGAAAGAAGTCATTTTTGGTGGTTGCTAGATGTGGATGGCAAGCCAGAGAAAAGGACAAAGGGCGGAGAAAATACATGACTAATAATAAATACAGAGAATAGTTCATATTGTCTGAACCTCCAAACCAATAGCTCAGAGTCCCTAAACGTTTAACCATGCATATTTGAAAAATATTTTATAAATTCAAGTAGTATTTAAGGCTCAACATTAAGCACTTGGAGTGAGTTTTCCTTATACATATTTTTGCTTATGCTTTTTGAACTGTATGAAACTATGAAGTCTCTTTCTGTTTTTCCATTGTGTATCTTGCCAAATTAGGTTAAGACAGCAGATCATCTTAACTCTAGAAAAATGATTTTCAATGATTCTAACACCCTAGAAAACTAATTATACATTAGCAAAAGAGATTTGGTGAGGAAAGAGATAAGATAGGTTAGTTGAACACAAAAGAAACACCATTTAGAAATAAGCTGGCTGTTATTGTGCAGCGATTAAATTACAGGTTGATACTATGAGGCTGTTGTCGAAAAAGGAGATATGTTTCTTGGATGTATAAAAAGGAATATGATGCAAAAGGGTAAGAAAACAAGGCTTTATGATAGTCAAACTCATTGTGTCTGGGTTGAGTCACCCTTGAAAAAAAGATTGTATAAAAAGCTGATACATAAGCCACAGAAATTACACAGCCTTCTAGGAAAAAGATAAAGTAAGTGAGGGTTTTAGTTTGAAAAAGTCTGGATGATTTCTTACTGATGGTCTTTAAAAGGAAAAGTCTGATATGTCCTTCTAGTCCCAGAGCCTGTGCTCAGTAAATTGCAGCACTTTCAATGACTCCTACATTTAGGGATGTAACTCTTCTCTGATAGACTCAGCAAGAGCAAATAGATTCAAATAAAAGCAAAGAGCAACTGTTATGACAGAAGGTATATAATAAATGAATTTGCTGACTGATGAATAGAGAAGAAAGACTACCTAGATTGCCAAGCTGATAAAGTAGTTGAGCGGCTTAGCTGAAGGAAGTTATGACATCTTTGATAGTATCTCTTTCAAGATGAGCGTAATTAACTCCATTCTGGGTGGTGGACTCCCACATGGCTGACCGTAGTTTGAGTCCTGGACCTGGCAGCTTGAAAATTTGCACTGGGCACATGTGCATATACGCCCAAAATCCTAGTAGGAGAGTGGAGAAGGAAGGATTATGATGTGGCCATCCCCCAGGAGGGCATTTCTCACTTTCCCTCTTACTGTCTCTAACTCTGTCTCTCTCTGGTGAGTGCATGAACCATCTGGCAAAAACCAAACCAAACCAAACCAAACTAAAACCACATTTATTAATTCATTCAGCAAACACAGAGGGCTTCGCTTACAGTCTGGCAGAGGTTAAAAACAGAATCCCAGTATATGATTAGTCCTGTGGGACATAAAGCCAGCGTGCTGCGGGGCCATGCATGTGGCTTTTTGGTGGAGGAATGTTGTATTCCCAGTCTTTGAGGACTGAGCTAGACAGACCAGGCAGGTGCTGGGTGAAGGGTCCTGTAGAGGCAGCAGGTGGAGGGCATGGGCAAAGACTGAGGTGAGAATCTGAAGGTAGAGGAACCATTGTTGATGAAAGCCTCATGTGCCATGCAATATTTGTCTGAAGATTTCTACCCAGAAGGTCAGGTGGACATTTAGAAAGATTACACATGCCGCATTGAAGAGAATAGCTATGGTGGGGGTAGAGGACAGGTCAGACGGGTAAGTGGACCAGATGGGAAACATCCACTGTCATCCAGTGAGAAGTGACAAGGACACCAATAGTAATGGATGTGAGGAAGATTAGTGAAGGCATGAAGTAGAGTTGTGGCTTAGGTTGTCAGGTGCCATCATTCCCCACTGAGTGAAGTACAAGAAAAGGTAGCAATTCGAGGGGAAGGACATCTGACATGTTTGAGACCATGTAGACGAGACAGGTGGAGATGTAAGAGACAGACCGAGTGAAAGGTCAGTTTGCATGGATGTGGACCTCAGAATACAGATTGGTAACAGTAATTCAAATGGTGGGCAGCTTAGCTTGTGTGAAGACCTATTACCAAAAATACAGTAAAAAAAAAAAAAATTAATATGGGGGAACCAGCAGTTAGCGTAATGGCTATGTCGCTGGACTCCCACGTAGTCGACCGCGGTTCGTGTCC